TTAAAAATAACTGCAGGACTTGGGACTTTGAGACCACTGTGGACAATATTTCAGTTACACTACACTTAAACAATAACTTTTTTCATTCTTAAAAGTTGGACAAAAAAAGTGTCTTTAAAAACTATTGTAACACATTGACTTTACCTATATAACTATTTTTATTTAACAATTTGAACATAAAATGAAGAAAAATATATATATAGCCTATTAATGTTTAATTCATTAAAACATTGGCAAGTAGTTCAAATTTTTAAAAAAAACACTGCCTTACAATAGACAATTCTCTTCTTTCAACAAATTTCACCTGTATATATTCTGGAGAGTTCGAGCAACTGTCCTCCCCCCTCTCTGTCAGTGACGTGACGTGGCAGCCTGCCTTTCCTACAGACCAGTTAAAGTTAAGAACATAGCTGTAATGAATTAAAGTACTAAAATATGATAAAGTATAATAAGATATGATGAGTATTCGACACAGAACAACTTTGCTTTATTGGGAAAGAATAATTCTACTCCGGACGTGAGTGGCGCAATGTGACAAAAGAACCCAATAATCAGTTATACTGTCCATATTTACATTTACTCATTTAGCAGACGCTTTTATCCAAAGCGACTTACAAGTAGGAGAGCATATAACACACAGTGGATCCGGCGCGACATGACGTGTCACATGCCTCCTTTTTTAACGGGTTCTTTTGACGTGTCGCATGATGACATCGCTCGCATATGGTGTAGATGCCCCGTTAGGTCAAATAATAACGTAGAAATTCGATCGGCTGATTCGTGTCATCGTGACATAACATATACTTACAGTGTTTGAAAAAGGACGTAATCGTCCTCTGCAGAATCACCCTTTTCTAAAAGTGCGGGGGACATGCCCACCCCCCACCACGCCCCGCCCCGACAGGCAGTGTATTCCGAGATGGCCTCAATGGCCGTGACAGGACAAGCAAAGGGTTCAGGGATGGCTTTCTTGGCCGTGACAGGGCAGATTGAAAGTTCATGGACGGCTTCTTTGACCATGACAGGACAGACAGAGGGTTCAGGTATGGCCTCCTTGACCATGACAGGACAGGCAAAGAGCTCAGAGATGGCTTCTGGGGTCGTGACAGGGCAGGCAGAGTGTTCAGAGACGGCCTCCTTTACCGTGGCAGGACAGACAGAGGGTTCAGTGATGGCCTCCATGGCTGTGACAGGACAGGGAGAGGGTTCAGGGACGTCCTCTGTGGCTGTAACAGGGCAGGCTGAGGGTTCAGGCACTGCCTACATGGCCGTGACGGGCCAGACAAGGGGTTCAGGGGCAGCCTTCGTGGCTGTGACAGACGAGGCAACATATTCAGAGGCG